TATCTATCTATCTATCTATCTATCTATCTATCTATCTATCTATCTATCTATCTATCTATCTATCTATCTATCTATCTGTATGTAATAAAAAATTCCCTTTCAACCTGTGCTGTTATCTGACCAAAACCTCGAAGATCTCTTTGAAGAGGTATCCTACACCTTACAGAGGATCTGTGAATGGTTCTGGGTTGGTTCAAGACTATTTATGTTGATCTGTATAATTTTGAGACATATGACTTCTGTTTCTTTAATTCACTGTAATGTGGCTGCTGACCCGTTTGTGACACTGTTTTTTTTTGGTTCTCTTTTCTTTCTCCCCCCTCAGTATCCGCAGCGGAGCCAAGAGTCCTCCTCTCCATTTGTCTTTATCTGTTCTAATCCGCAGGAGATGGTTGTCAAGTTCCCCATCAAAGGCAAACACAAGATCTGTAAGTTGTTCTTCTCGGTTCCGGTTTTGAAGGGGGAGCCTGATGAAGCAAGCCTTTTTTTTTCCCCCCGTGGCACGGCTGCCAACACTGGCGATCTCACTGAGACTGGCAGATTTGGGCAGGGTGCAGTCCTTTTAATTTCCTACAGTGTTCTGGAGCATTGTGACATTGGGGGAGTCGGTTGGGGGGGGGGGGGAATTAAGTGGCAACAAGTCCAGATAGTAGCTGTCAAGGCTGTTTGAAGAATTGCATTTCCCTCTTCCTTTGCAAGGCTCCCCAGGTATTAAGACTGCAAGAGACGGCTTGCCTGCCATCCAAGGCATGTTTGTTCAGGACCCGAGAGGGCCTTTTCAGTAGCTTCTCTGAGGCTACAGAACTCTCTTTAAAGGAAAGCTATGTTGGACCCCTCCATGTTGTCTTTCCATCAGTAGGTGGGAAGGAACCTTTCGGTTGGGCAAGGTTTTTTATCACTGACCCAGTGGCTTAGTTATCTTTTATCATTTAAGACTCTTTTCTTGGAGGGGTGTATGGTGTTATTATTGTTTTTTAAGTTGTTTTAAGTTTAAAAGCAGGATGTACATGAAACAAAGTCGACAGCTATGGGAGACGCAGAACAGGCATCAGGGGTGACTGAAATGGGAGGATCCACTCCACGGGGCTGTTACAGTTCTGTTTGCACACCACGGCAGAAACGTTATCTCTTGTCTTGCTTCCTTTTCAATGCCCCCTTTACCCTAAAAAACAATAACAGTGCTTGTTGCAAGGCATGTGGCTTCCACTTATCATTGCTGGTATTCTGGAAATGATACGCCACTTGTGTTGTAGATTGAATAAAAATGTTTTACACCAGAAAGGAATTATGAACTTTATGCATGCTTCAGAATAGAGAGACATTGTAGGGGAAAAGGCATACTGTAGACGGTTTTTCATTTGGATCATCTTGTCTATCTTGATGTTTTGACTTGGCGTGAGAGGAAACATCAGAGAAGAGCTAAGGATAATTTAAGAAGACCTTTTTTTGTTGTTGTTGATTTTGATTTTATTCAATCCTGCATTTCTTGTAGTCTGGGGCAGCTCACGACAAGGTAAAAACAGCTGTAGCTTAATGCAAGTACAGTATAGATAAAAACCAGGCCCAACTCTGTCTTATTAAAAAGCGGTAGAGTAATTATAACATTAATATACTATTGAATTAAAACCGCTTTGGAATACAGCCCTTAAAAAGTAGCAGCACAGCCTCTTCCTTCAGCAACAAGTCAGTTTCAAGAAGCTTTGCTTAAAGAAAAAGAGTCTGCTGACTGAAGAACAGCAAGGAGAAATGAGCCTAGGCTTATTCAGAAAGAAGTTCCAAAGCCTAGGAGCAGCCATTCGGAATAGGCTTTCTCATATCCCCAGTAAATGTGCCTGTGAGGATGGTGGATGATTGAAAGAACTTCCCCAGGTCCTGCAAGAATCATTTCACAACATGATTCTTTCCTACTTGAGCCTTTCCCAATCTGATGCCTCCCAGATGTGTTTCGCTCTAGTTGACATCATGCTAGCTGAGATGATGGGAGTTGTAGTGCAACACATCTGGAGGGCGCAAGCATGGGCAGTGGTTCCCAACCTTGCCTAAAAGGTGTTCTTGGACTGCAGTTCCCAGAAGCCTTCACCATCAGCTGTGCTGTCTGGGAGTTGTAGTCCAAGAACACCTAAGTCACCCAAGGTTGGGAATCACTGCCATAGGGCAGACCTGGGCAAAATGTGGCCCTCCAGATGTTGCTGAACTGCAGCTCCCAGCAATCCTAGCCCACACAGCCAATAGTGAGGAGTGTTGGGATTTGCAGTTCAGCCACATCTGGAGGGCCACACTTTGCCCAGGTCTGCCATAGGGTATTGTCTCTGCATAGCAGACCTGTATGTCTACCCTAACCTGCCATGAGTAGACTTAGATCTTTGTTGCTGTTTGTCTGGGGGGGTCTACTTATTGTTTCCTTATGCACGGAAGTAAATTCTATATGAAGCGTGACCTGTATTTCAGCAATGGCTAGTTTCAGATTTAATTATCGTAATGCAATAAACAATGGCTTTTTAGTCAGAATTAACCATGTGCTCACATGTTCCCATCTCAGCTCATCCCTCCTCCCTTCTATCCTTGAACATTTTCAAGGAAAATCCTCGTTTGATAGCCTTGCTTGTTGTTAAACACCCTTTAAACTCTGGTTTCCAAGTTCAGTTATTGAAGGAAACAAGACCACCATACATGATGAACACCTGAGGAAAGGAGAAGAGTGATCAGGAGAAGAGTGATAAGCAGTATTTGATTGATATTATTATATTTTATCTGGTACAGTAACTTCCCATCTAATCTTAATGTGCAAGTAGCTAATCTGTGGACAAAGGTAGAGTGTTGTGTAGCTTGGCCTGAAGGCACTGAGTGGGTTATAGGTGCTGGCCTTGGGACTTTCCAAGCCTGACCAGGTTGTGTCAGAAGGACTTATTCATGCTTCTGGATAATATCCAGAAACTTCAGCAGGTCCAACACGTGGCAGCCAAGTAGCTGACTGGGGCTGGTTAGAGGGATCGCATAACCTCTCTATTACAGCAGCTTCACTGGCAGCTGATCCCTTTCTGGCGCTAACCTATAAAGTCCTAAATGACTTGGGCCCAAGCTATTTCTAGGCGGATGTCTCCCATTATGAGCTTGCTCAGGTGTTAAGAACATCAAGAGAGGCCTTTCTCTCAATCCCATCACCTTCACCGGTGCATTTGATGGGGACGCGGGAAAGGACCTTCTCGGTTTTTACTCCCAGACTCTGGAACTCCCTTCCACTGGAGGCCAAGGTGGCCCCATCTTTGCTGTCCTTCCACAAGCAGGCAAAAGTCCTTGCTCTTCAGGCAGGCTTTCCTTACAGTGACTGGCAGCCTGAGTGGGGATTTTTCTTTTAATGGGTTGTGTGCCTTACTGCTTTGGATGTGTTTTTGGTGTTGATTTTTGTTTACCGTTACTTAGAGCGGTATTTGTTTGGTCATTTTTCAAGTTTGTATACTTATTTAGCTTTTAATGGCTTTTAATGATGTAAGTCCTTGCTCTTCAGGCAGGCTTTCCTTACAGTGACTGGCAGCCTGAGTGGGGATTTTTCTTTTAATGGGTTGTGTGCCTTACTGCTTTGGATGTGTTTTTGGTGTTGATTTTTGTTTACCGTTACTTAGAGCGGTATTTGTTTGGTCATTTTTCAAGTTTGTATACTTATTTAGCTTTTAATGGCTTTTAATGATGTAAGCCACCAGGAGTCATTTTTTAAAGGAGAAAGGCAGGTTTAAAATATTTTAAATAAATAAAATAAATAAATACTTCTGTTTTGTGTAATAGGGGAAAATTGCCCACCAAACAACAGTTAATACTAACTATTCTGGCTTCTATTGATTTTTTTAACCAGTGCATCATCTTTAATTAATCTCCAGCTTTGCTAATGTAAGGAGCAATACATGCTTTCTTTTGCTTACTTCCTTTTAAGACATCCAAAAGTTTTGTTTAGTGCAAAATACACATGTGAAAAACGATTGACTTCATACCTTAAAGAGAGAGTTTGTTCTTGGACCTCATTGTGTGTTTTGGTGCAAACAATAGTCTTTTGTGTTGGTGGGAAAACAACACTGACTAATCTTCCAGGTGCTGCCTGCACCATTATTTTAATATTATTATACGTTGCTGACAGGCCTTCTACTGTGCCCCATCCAAAACCTCTCTTTTCCCACTTTCCGCCCCTCGACCTGATGGTTTAGGGGGTTGAAATGTTGGTTGAAAGGGTTGCATTGGGATTTGGGAAGTTCAGATTTCTCTCTGAACCAAGAAACTCATGTTGTGACTTTTGCCTGGTCCCTGTCCTCAGACTGACCTGCCACACAAGTCTTGTTAAGAGGGTAAAGTGAAGAGGAGATGATGTATGCGTTGAACTCATGAGAGCAGTGATTCCCAACCTTGGTAACCCTTCACCCCAAGCTGGGCTGGCCAGGATTTCTGGGAGTTGCAGTCCAAAGACATCTGGGGACCCCAGGTTGGGAGCTGCTGCATTAGAGGAGTCATAGAATTGTACATCTAAAAGAGATCTGCAGGATCATGGAGTCCAACCAACTGCCTTTGGAAGCAGGAAGTTCCCAGACAAGCGGCCACTTTGTTTAAAAAACCTGCAGTGAAGGAGAGTCCATCACCCTTAGAGGTGGATCATTCTTTGATTGAGTGGTTCATGTTGTTGAGTAGGTTTACATGAATTCTCGTTTCTCATCATTGGCATCCACCCTTTGGGGTCCTACCCTTGGAACTACAGGAAGCAAGCTTGCTCTGCCTTCCATACAAGGTTTGAAGATGGCAGCCCCATGGCTTCTTTGTCTCCTCCAGACTAAACCGCTCCCTCTAAAATTCCTCGTATAGGACTTGGTTTCTGGATCTGTTCGGACTTCCTTGCCCTTTTCTGGACCCATTCCAGCTTAGGTCCAAACCCTGAATTGGCTGTGGAAACTCTCCGGGAGATGGCACTGGTAGAACCACTGGAAATATCTGGAATACCCATGAGCTGGAAGTGGTGACATGTAACACACACAACACAATGCCAGGTTTGCTACTCAGAACAGCTCCTAGGGAGAGGTGGGGTTCTTCCCCCCCCTCCTTTGTTGTTTCTGTTCAGTGGAATGTACACTTTGGCTGCCAGTACAAACACTTCCCAAGTTTGTCACGGCTTGTCCTCTCCGAAGTGACAGCTTCCTGCTCGAAGAGGGATCAGCCTAACAGACTGGAAGGAGATGGCTTGTGCCAGAGGCGGCTGGACCGCCTCGCTCTCGCCTCTTGCCCTTAGCGCTCTGCCTCTCAGCAAGGTTAGGCAATGGGAAAGCCCGCCGCTGGCTGCAGCATCTTTGCTTGAACAGACTCCCATGACAGGGGACAGTCGTATGTCTGAGAATCCTCTTAAGTCTTTATTGTGATTGTGTGTTTTTTTACACTGAAGTTGAGCCTTTAGAGGGGT